TTTGTTGTTGTTTGTTTCTTTCGGAGTCAAACATTTTTGAAAATTCTTGTGTAAATCTTTTCCAGTTTGATTTTATTTCTAGAGGTAGTACTGAAAACCATTTTTGGGCTGCGCCATCTAAGGTTGTTTGTATTAACGCTGTGCGTCGATGTATCCAATTTTGATGTAGTGGCGTATTAATTGGTTCAGGTCCAATATTTAAAATCAGGTTTGCTGTTACTGCATTTAAATAATCTTCTACAGAGTATTCAGGGTCTGTTCCTGTGAAAACCATTAAAGGTTTGTTTGATGTTATTGATGATCCACCCATAAGGTATGGATTCATTGTCATTTGTAATGATTCTGCTGCATTTGGCATTTGAGAAAAATTTGAAAGTTGGTTTCTTGTTATCTCATGTTGTTGGAGATAATATGGAAGTGGTATTTCATTTTGCATTTGTGATGGTTGATACGAGTGTGCAGTCATTGGATTTTGTTGTTGAATTGGTTGAAAAGATTGTGTATTAATTGGATTTTGTTGTTGAATTGGTTGTTGATTTTGTGCATCTATTGGTTGTGGAGAAAAATTTCTATGACTTGTACGTGTTCTCTGTATTCCTTGTCTACGATATTCTTGAGTATTTTGTGCAAATATATCTGGTTGTAAGAAATCATCATCTGAGGATAAATAATCCATTTGATAAGATGTCTGTTTTTTATTTTTATTTTGTTGAAAAAATGGGTAATTTTCACTGTGATCCCGTGGAGGATTTGTTTGGAAATTTGTTGAATTAGGTTGGGCCATTGGGTTATCCCAATTTCGAGATCTTGTATATTGGTTAAAATTTCTTTGTGGTTGATTATATGTTTTTGATGGATGTGTATAATTATAATTATGGTCTGCAAAGTTGTTTCTAGTGAATGTTTTGCGTGTTTTTGGTGGTATTGTCATGGGTCTGTATGTTTGGTAATCCATATGTGAATATTTAGGGGCAACCGAAGGTTTAACGGTTGATTGTAAGGTTACCTGTGTTTGTGAAGGATTTGTATTTCTTGGTGTTGTTAAATTTGGGCGTATTGGTGAAATACTTTGTTGTGTAGTTGTTGTGTGTACAATTTCTTCATTTATGAAGTGTGATGGTGTCTGGATATCTTGTTGAGTAAGATTCCTAGTTCCATTGAGGTTTTCATTGTGTATAACTGTAGAGTTTAAACTATTATTTTGTGTATCGGGTAAAAATGTATTATAGTTTAATGGTGTTGCATCAATTGTTAATGGTATTACTCTTACATAATCTCTTATGTAAGATATTGTACCTATTGCTTGACTTGAGATTGATTGTGGAAAGCTTATAAATGCGGGATGAGACCATTCGGGGTCCCAAACATAATCTGATTGTTCTGTGATAGCGGTATCATCGTTCGAATTTTGGGGTCTAAAATTTTTTCTTGCTTGTGCAATTAAATCAATATTGTGTGTGAAATAATCTATTATGAACCATGCCAAAATTTTTTGTAGATCGTGTTTTGTATGTTGTGAAACGTCGTCTTTCGTGAAATTTTCTTTAATGATGTTTAAATAACTAGAGAGTAGTGTGATTTCATGTCGTACTTTCAAATGTTTAGATGTTTCTTTTGGTGAGACATTTGTTATTGGGATTTCGTTTTCTAATATCGAAATATAACTATATATTATTGCGAAAACTTCATTGGTGAATATGGAGTTTGCTCTTTGTGAGTTATGGTATTGGATGCTTTTTATATATTCTGAAAAAACTTTTGAAAATTCTAAATCAAGATCGTCTGTTTGAATTGTATATTTTCTATTATTATGGTTTGGTGAGGTGAATTCTATGGAGTAGATTCCATACTGTTGTGTTATGTTGCATATATCTTTTAGATAGTGATCTATGATTTGTCTTTTGATTTTTACATCGGGGAACTCTGTTTTACATGGACTGATTCCGGGTTCAAATAAATTTACGAGTAAATTTTGACAAAATATGTGTTGTCCTCTATCAGTATCTGCGTCTACTATAAAAGGAAAGATTTCATCATCATCTGGAGTTTCTTCACCTGGGGTGTGCGTTGAACTCATTTTTTCGTTCGATTACTGTTAATATGTAATTATTAATGTGTCGAATTGGTTGATTCCAATTGTATAAATGTACTGGTTTGTGTTTGTACTGCTTTTTTATTCTTCTTTTTCCTCTTTGTGATGAATTTGAAGTTGTTTCTGAGTCAGAGAAATATAATTGATCGTGAATTGGGCAATTTTTATCTATTGATTCTTTTAGTTTGTAAAGTTCGTCTAAACTGTTGGTTTCTGATTCTGAAAATGCGTTTCGATTTTTTGAAAATCTTTTTCGTGTTATTTGTCTTTGTTTAGTTATTATTTTTCTTTTTAGTGTTTGTCGTTTTGTTCGAATGTATCCAACTGTTTGTGTATGAGGTGTGATTACAAGGTCGTATTTTTTTTTATCTATTTCACAATTGTGTAAAACGATTGTTTGTTTATTTCCTAGGTTTTTAAATGACATAAGGTTTAGAATGACGGATGCAAAGGGTTGTTAAATGATTTCTATTTTCCTAAACTGTTAGTTCTTACGATTTTTTGGTTAGCTTAACCTGGGTCTGTTTGTTCAGGGTTGGAGAGAAAAGTATATCGATTCCGAAGAATGATTTTTTACTTTCTCGTGGCTAGTATAAGTTAAGGTGTTAACTTACTTAATCTTACTTAGGGGTAGTGATTGTGTTCAAGGGTTGGAGAATAGTAAATCGATCCACAAGGTTCAGGTATAATTAGAACGCGAGTAGTTCGTTAGATACTATTTTAAACTTACTAAGTCTAAGATTTATCCTGGGTCTGGTAAGAGGGGGGGTCAAGTGAAGGATGAATAACCGAAGTTCTTCACTGTTTATCCTAATTTGAATGATTAGTTTTGTTTAAAAATTTCTATTAGTCTTAGGTCTTTAGAAAGGGTTGGGTAGTGAATCGACGTTTGAGGTCGTTAGACACTAATTAAGTGGGTGGGGGAGAACAAAGTTGTTCTGTTTGATCCAAGGATAAGCCTTGATGATCAAATTTGAAATTTAATTAAGTAGAAAATGATTTAAGATCCAAGGATAAGCCTTGATGATCTGGGTTTAAAATTAAGTGAATTTAAGTTTTAATAAAATTTTAAATGTGTGTAAAGGAAAGATTTAGTGTTTTGATGATATTAGTGGGTTTATGATTGCTGTTATGTTTTAGATGATGAAGCTGGAACAACAGGATGATTTATGATTACTAACCATTTATTGTCATGCTACTAATTTTTATTTTTATTTTCCAATAAATATTTTTCAAACATGTTTTGTATAATACTGCAGAGTTTTAGGAAAACGATCTTAGATCTTTTTATCAATCGTATATTAATAAATTTGTTTAGCGCCTGAAATGATTTTGAACATTGACTTCAAAATTTTATGTTTGCAAATGAAAATCTAAATTCATTGCTAGTAATATTCTAAATATAAAAGTTTGTTCTGGCTTTTGCCGAACTATCATATAACTATACGGCAAGTTTCTACTTTGTCGTATGTCGTCTTTGGTTCGAGGTCTTCTTTCAATTCCGGGTAGTTCTGTTATGGTTCGGAATATTGGCTCTGATCTATTGAGTCGGAGAGACATTTCAATTAAATTATTGTCGTATAACATTTTTGTAAATGTTTTTGTCTAATTTCTAATCTATTTTGGTTAATTCTAATCTAGTAAGGTCTTGTTCGAGACTTATGGTCGCACCAGATGAGTTAGGACCGAAGTGTAACTCATAGAGTAATTTCGGATAGGGTACACCGTCTGCTCGTCACGCTATCTTATTTTCGGCCGGATAGATTCGTGCAACTTCTTAGTCTAATACCGATCCTAATCTTACTCTTATACTATCTAGTCTCAGGTTGTTTAACTAGTCTCTGCTAGGCTCAATAGATCTAGGGTATACTGGTTTATTGCGGCTGCTGAAGTGCTCGGGAGAGTCCAACTAATTTCTAAGTTAAATTCAAATCTCTCTGGTGCTGAAATTACAAGTAACTTCAGCACTTACAAATAAGTGGGTTGTTAGTTAGATGGATCATGATTGGTTAATATTAAATACTTTACATTGGTAAAACATTTAATTTATCCAATCATAAAATGTAGTTTAGATCAGGTTCCAGAAGCTTGATTCCATTTACTGAATCAACTGTCTGAATCAAATTGATGGAACCTGATCTAAACTACAATTTATTATTGGATAAATTAGATACTTTACCACTGTAAAATATTTAATATTAACCAATCATAATCCATCTAACTAACAACCCACTTATTTGTGGGATTTCAATTTAACTTAGAAATTAGTTACCTCTCCAAGAGAACTTCAGCAGTTGCAATAAGCCAGTATACTCTAGATCTATTGAGCCTAGCAGAGACTAGTTAAACACCCTGAGACTAGTCGATATAAGAGTAAGATTAGGATCGGTATTAGACTAAGAAGTTGCACGAATCTATCCGGCCGAAAATAAGATAGCGTGACGAGCAGACGGTGTACCCTATCCGAAATTACTCTATGAGTTAACCTCAAGGACCTAACTCATTGACCATGTTTATGGCACTTATTTTTTTGATATCGTGCTGTACAGTAAATTAGTTTTACTCTTAGTGAATCTGTGCGGAATACGTGTGGTGTCTTGTGTGTTCTAACTTGCAGCTGCGATAGTCAATTAAGTTAATTTAATATTAAACAGCTAACATAATATTGGACTCAAGTCTCTTTTGCTCTTGCAGTTTCTTATCTCAGTATTATGTCGAGTATTGAAAGATGGGCGAATAACAACCTGTTTTTATACCTTATTGGCTCAGCCTCAATGAATATTTCAAAATGATTTAACAGTCTTAACTATTAAACTAGCTAGTAAAATTTTGCATTAGTTTTGATACGCATTTTGGACCCAAACTCATCGAGATCTTCTCTAAAGATTTTTTTGAATGAAAAAAGGCGTTAATTTTAAAAGTTTTCAATTTGATGAAAGAATACTATCTAATTTGTATTGACAGAGAAAATTATAATCGACATGAATAAAAATACAATCTAGTTCAAGTTCATTCAATGATATTTTGCTGAACAAAATTTTGAGTTCCCGATTTTGGGGCTCAGGCAGGCTAGTATTGCGTAAAGTCTCATTCTCGAAGGAACGACATTAAAGCGAAAGTTTTTGGTCCGTTTTTCTTATCGAGCAGCTGCTGCAAAAAGTAGGCTCGACATCTGATTGGCTGAAGCAAATTGAGAGCTGCCATTGGTTGAAAAGGAGAAAGGCAACGCGGGAGTTGGCTGAGGTGCAACCGACGGTAACCCAAGAGCTCCAAAAGAGCCGAGAGATAGCTGAGCCGAAGACAACAGCGGAAGTGTTGGAGCGGCTTGTCTTGCAGCGATCTGATTGGTCAGCGATTGGAGTCGTGAATCGTGAAGAGCGGGTCTCGAATAGGGGTGGAACCGAGAAGCCGACAGTGAGTGGTGGTTGACGGGTTCAGGTAACACCTTTCTGGACAAGTTTTTCAATGAGACCAGAGGACTAGTGGCTGAAGTATCATTGGTCAAACCGGAAAGGCTATTCAAAGGCGACGCTTGCTTAGGCACTGAAGGTTGAGAACTTGAAACAGTTTGGTTCGAAGTGTGTACTTTTTTGATATGGTCAAAAAGCTGATCCTCAGAGGCGAATTTATGACCGCAAGGGGTCCCATTTTCGGTCCAGCTACAGGTAATATCAGAAGGCACGATTTCTTGAATCGTCGGAGAAGGCGATGTGCTGATTTGAAGAGGAGCTGAAAAGTCAGGGGTCACTTTGCCAGGTTTAGGCGATGGAGTCTTCGACGAATTCGATGCTGCTTGGTGCACGTGGCCAGATAAAGCTGCAAGGTACTGTTCGGCAGTCAGACCGGTCGGACTAATTGCCGATGGTTGCTGCAAGTAGTTATTGTTTACATTTGCCGGTTTAGTGCACAGAGAGCAGTTTTTCGAGTCGCTGCATATCGAGACGTATTGAATACTACCAGTGATTGGGTTTTTCTGAGGCATCAAGTAGTGTTGCTGGGGCTGCAATGGTGCACTAAAATCAGGAGCACTGACAGTCGAGTTTGTAGTCTTAGCCAGTTGCTGTTGAAGACTCAGAAGGTTCAATCTGAGCGTCTGACACGCCGCACACGGACACAGGCGGTAGTCGATACCATTGTGAAGATGAGATCCGTTCGACTGCAGTAAATGAGATGTTGAACTTGGACTCAGAAGCTTTTCTGTGCTGCTAGCTGTCGGAGACATGAGTAAGTCCAGAGAATTGGGCTGAAACGCGGGGTATTGAGTAAGTTCTCGTTTAGCAGCCAGAGTTTGCAAGTACACTTTGGTCAAATGCTCCAAGTTTGGGTTACTTCCAGAAGCGAACGAGTTCAAACTAGGAATTGGTTTTGAGATCTGTTGGTTTTGGGCTTGAAGAGCGGCCAGGGTTTCCAGAGCGAGTCCGGTGCTTTGCTGCTTAGCTAGAAGTTCATGTGCCAGAAGATAGTTCAACTCGGAACTTTTTTGAGCATTATTTGCCGGTTGCTGTTGGCTCTGAAGAGCGCTTAGATGTGAAAGCAAAGTCGAAGTTACGGGGAGTTGTTGACCAGAAGAAACTGGGTTCTGATGGTTGCCAGACGAGACAGGGTAGCTGAATTGATTTCGAGAGCTGGCGTATCCAGGAGAGGAGTTTTTGGGCTTCATGTCGTTGCAAAGACTGGTGCAGGCGGCTGCCAGCTTTGCCAGCGGGTTGGTCGATATGGAGCCAGATTGGGTTGATTTCTGAAGAGAAAAGGAAACATGAACAACTCAATAACCGCATAAGTTTGTGAAACAACTTACAATCAGAAAAGGATTAATCAAATCATATTCAAAAATGGTTATTCAATTTTTTTCCGAGTGAAACATTGAAAACAGACATTTATTAAAAAATTAGGAAATACTTACACAATCGGCCTTCGAAGTCCAATCGTCGTTTGAGAGCATCGGGTTCAAGATTTCGATGTCTGAGGTGCTTGACAACAAAGTTGTTGGTGAAGGTTCTCGTTTGTCGATCATTTTGATTTTTTGCGTAATGCAAAGGCAGTGTTAGATATCTGAATTTAAGGCAAAAATTTTAAAGCTATGATGCAGTAAGAGCAAATCTAAAGCGTCGGTTGTCTCTGAAAATGAAAAGTATACGGAACTGGGAGCAAATTTTTGGTCGACTGAGTTTCAATAATGTGGAGAAAGCTGAACACAATAGCAAAGATTTGAGAAATGAATAATAAATTTATTTGGGCCGTCTTTAGAGCTAGGGGGTTATTTTGTGAATAGAGGGGCTGTAAATAATAATGACACTACAAAGTAGTCGGCTAAACTTCAAAGGCTGTGCCGAATTGTGATTGACACACTGGCTGTATTCGCCATTAAACTTCAAAAGTTTTTCCGCTTAATTTCACATCGTGGGAAATATTTGAAAGATCAACTCTCATTAGATTATTTTGACTACTTATTAGATATAGCCAATCAAAAAGCGCCTACAATGAAAGGAGTGTGAGAAAATAGTGTGCTATTAGAGAGGTGAATGCTTGTTACTGTCAAAGCGGCGTGTCAAATAAACATGATCAAAGGTAACAACTGTCACTCATGCGATCAATCAAAATTTATTGCTGACAAGAGCTGCCGTCGGTAAAAGATCAAAGAGGGAGGCAGTCTTAGCACAGTTGAAAATATGACAGCCTTTCAATTCTACGTGCCTTGATGTTCCAACATCAAACAAACCGCCAATAACGTAGAACAACCCTCGTAACGTCAAATCTCAAAGGGGAGTCGTGCGGTCTCTGTCTTGTTACGCTCTTTAAATCAAAAAATGTGAATAAGTGGCTTCAGATTTGAATATTGATTTAATGAATGGCAGTTGTGTGACTGAATTACTGAAAGTACAAGTTACATTCTCAACAAACGACAAACAATTCTCCTTTGTCAGAAAATAATTCAAAAGCTATAAATTATTTTTGATTTGTTTTCGAGAAGTCAGTCTGAAGTGACAAAATCTGATGGAGAAACTAGAATAATGTCTGTCAAATGGAGGCGGAGCAATAAGCAGAATGGGTCCAAGAGCAGAAAAACAGAAAAATATTGAATTGTATTGGCTTATACGGGCTAATTGATAAAACAATTATTAGAATCGTCAAAAAATATCAAGAAAACGAATAAATTATGCATGAATTGACTAATTTAATTAAGTTTTTTGATAAAACTTTTTTCAAAAATTTCTTGATTAAATTGCCTAAATTATGCATAAAATGTTCGTTGCTTTGCAATTATTGACATTTCTGATTATTATTTTACCGATTAGCTTGTAGAAGTTGATATTTTTCTATTTTTCTGCTCTTGGACCCATTCTGCTCTGCTTATTGACTGGCCACCCTGTCAAATAATGAACAAAAAACAATATCGCCTTTCTTTTTAGTGACAACTTAAACATTAATAATTAAGGAAGAACGATAAACAAAAAAGAATACAAATATTTTGACAACAACGGAAACCAAAATGACATTCACATTAATTAGAAATAAGGTCAAATAAAACCAGATTCCATACTTGAAAAGCTTTTATTGCTAATAAATATATGAAAGTGTCACCAGAAAATGTCATTGCGAACCTCCTCCGGAAAGTTGAAAAAATAATGCAATCCTCGTGACAAGAAATTTAGTTCAATCGAAAAATCTACACATTTTTTTGCTTGACCCATATTTTTTCAATGCATAGTTGTCTGGTTAACGAGCAGAAAAGACGGATCAACCGTACAATTGCCCCCCAAATCGATTTAGAGGGGATAAAATACGGGTTTTTCATGGGGGGGCTTTGATTGCACGGTAGACGAAAAGACGATTATCTTTCAACAAATTGAAATTTGTTTTACCGGAGTATATATATGGGAACAAATAATTGTTTTATTCTGCAGTATTTCATTAAAACCTTAGATCTTAGCAAATGTTGAGTTGCTCCGGTCGTTTAAAAGGTGAAAATGGTTTGCATTTATCTTTTTGCTTGAACTGGCCTCTAATGATGGCATCATTGTCGTTTTGCCCATACAAAAAAACGAAGATGGCTTATTCGCTAATTGCAAGTTCTGTTTAATCAAAGAAGCTTTGTTTTATTGGTTTACATTTCGCCAAATATGTAGCAAGACTGCTCTTTAATCTGTCTTTTCACTCGCGTCCAGACAATTCTTTTCACCTTAAATCGAGAAAGAGCTCCAATTCCGATTTTTTTCTTTCGAATCTAGAATTTTGTAAAACTGGCTGATTTGTCTCAGGCTGAATTGTCTGGATATTTTTGGCTGAATTGTCTGAGTTTCAAATTGGCTGAATTGTCTTTGGCCCAATTGTCTGTGCGCCCTTTTCACTATCGAGAGCAAGTGACTTGGGTGATATAGTACATTAGGTGCTAGATTAAACTGCAATAGCTGGATTGCTTTTTGCTATACTTCGTACACTGTTATTTATAATTTATTTCAAAAGCCAAATTTTTTGACGAAAGAAGTGTAAAATTTGAATGTTTGAATATAATTGTATTTGGCAGAGTAATGTATTTACAAAAACTCCGCCTGTCGGAACTGAGCAAGATCCGACTGCCGGTCCAAAGCCCGGATAAAGGAGGATGGTTGTAGAGTGGCGACCTCCGTAAAACCTAGACAAGAAACCACAAATGCGAAGTCTCACAAACCACAATCCACATACAGGTACGCCCCCCACGGGAACTGGGGCCTCCACGAGTGCCGTCATGGAGGAAAACAGTGAAATCGGCACGAAAGCACAAAGCATTCCAAAGAAGTTCTACGTATATGTACGTGGAACACCCTTACCCTACTCCCCCCAGAAGCACCTGACCTCCTGGACAAGTCACTATCGAATCACCAGATAGACGTGGAATGGCTACAGAAAACAAGAATCCAAGGAGAATCCAAAGTAGAAACCAAAGGGTACCAGATACTCACAAGCGGATATCAAGAGAACAAGGGTATCCATGGAGTCGGAACTGCAATATCGAAAAGGATAAACAGTTCTGTACAGTTATGGAAAGCTGTGAGTGCAAGAGTCTGCATGCTCAGACTAGAAGCTAAGCCCACACCTGTCACCATTATATCATGCTACGCTCCGACAGAAGAAGCCGATTCAGCGACGAAAGACGACTTCTACCAAAGTCTCCAAGCCACGGTCGACGACACTCCAAAGGGAGACCTACTGCTGATAGGAGGAGACATGAACGCAAAGCTTGGTCAAGCGCATATAGCCGAAAGCACCTACATTGATAGGGCGGTCAAGCCATCCCAACGGAACGATAATGGCGACCGCTTGGCCCTGATCTCGGCATCAAACGACCTATGCATAGCAAATACCATGTTCAGGAAAAAGATTCACCAACATCCTACATGGTGCTCTAGAGACAGAAAAACAAGAAATCAAATCGACTTCCTATTGATTAGAAGAAGATGGAGCACATCGATAAGTAACGCCCGCGTGAGAAAAGACGGGCTTCTCCTCGACAGTGACCAGCGAATGCTTACGTGCGCCCTCAAGTCGAAGCTCAGAGTCTACAAGAAGACACAGAAAACGCAAAGGCTCAACCTTGAAGCCCTTCGATACGCAACCAAGGCAAGAAAGTACTGCCAAGAGCTACGCCGGACCGCGGAAGGTGTACAACGCGACGCCACCGTAAACCAGAAATGGGAGCGTATCAAAAAAGCTATAGTAAAAACGGCTGCCAAGACGTTAGGAACAACCAAACACAAGCAAAAAGAGTGGATAACATAGGAGACGGTGAACGCAATCCAGACACGAGAAAAAATTAAGAACAAGGGAGCAAACCAGAAAAAAGTCACAGACAAAAGAAAGCGCGTAAAGCAACTCATACGAAGGGACAAGTGCAAATACCTGGACGAAAAGACAGCCGAGATTGAATTAGCAATTGAGAAAGGACACACACGAGATATGTACAGACTAATCAACACGCAAAGCGGCAGCGGCGACAAAAAGACTATCACAGAGTCTTTCAAGGATGCAAACGGAAACATGATAACTAACACCAAGAGAATAATGGAGAGGTGGAAAGAGCACTACGAACAACTATTGAGTACTGAAACCACGCCATTGCTGCTCCCGGCCGCCCAGACGCTGCCACAAGCGTTAAACCAGGTTGACTCCAAGGCCCCGACCAAAAGGGAGATTAGGGACGCCATAGAAGGGCTACGGATCCACCGCGCAGGTGGATGTGATGGCATACCCTCTGAGCTCTACAAAGCAGGTGGAGAACCGGTCGTTGACCTTACGAAACTGCTACTGGTTAACATATGGAGTACAGAACAAATATCGGACGAATGGAGAGTATCAATCTCCTGCCATTCCACAAGAAGGGCGACGCACAAGTTTGCGCACACTATCGCGGGATATCGCTTCTCTGCATAGGTTTCAAAGTCCTGGAATCAATTTTGCTGATACGATTTACTGAAGCCTACGAGCCCCACGCCCGAGACAATCAGGCGGAATTTTAAAAAAAGAGAGACTGTTGCGATCAACTCTTCACACTTCGACAGATCCTGGAGCAACGAAACGAGTACAACAGATCAACGGTCATGGTGTTTATCGACTTCAAAGCTGCTTTCGACAGCGTCAAGAGAGACGCCATCTGGCAGCTTCTCGAGAATCAAGGACTATCATGCAAACTACTTAACATCATAAAAACAATGTACACGGACACCACAAGCTGCATGAGAAAGAACGGCATGCTTTCTGATCTCTTCCCCGTTAACTCAGGGGTCAGGCAAGGAGGTGTTCTTTCCCCATTTTTTTAAAATCTTCTCATCGACTGGGTGATGAATTGTGCAACTTAGGGCAGAAACAGGGGAATCTCGCTAGAAACAGTCATCTCCGATCTGGATTATGCAGATGACATCTGCTTACTAGAGGACAACGCCGATGATGCCCAATCCCTACTAAACAGAGTAGTCGCCGCCACAAAAGAAGTCGGCCTTGTTGTCAATGATATCAAGACCAAGTGCATGTTTGCCCGAACGGACCCAGCGGTGATGTACCTCGACTGCAACCCGCTCGAAATCGCCACTGAGATCGTCTACCTCGGAAATTGGATATCGTCAAACGGCAACATAGCAACAGAAGTGCAAAACAGGATCGCACGCGCTACTGCCAACAGCTCTAGATTAGCAAAATTCTGGAAGAACAGGGGAACGACGAGAAACATGAAGAACAAAGTATACAACGCATGCGTAAAGAGCGCTCTGCTATATGCTGCGGAAACATGGACTGTCAAAAAATCTGACCTCGTAAGACTTGATACATGGAAAGATGCGTAAGACGCTACCTCGGAGCACGACCTGATCAAGACCCCACCACCATCCGAGCAGCAGCGAACCTTGGGACATCCTTGGGCTCTCACCTGCGAAAGATGAGACTAAGATGGTGTGGTCATGTACTTCAAATGGGGGAAGAACGAGTAACTCGAGAAGTGTTAATGTTTGAAAAAGCTCATTCGTGGAAACGCCCACGAGAATTGTTAATGTTTGAAAAAGCTCAACCATGGAAAAGCCCGCCGGGTGGCTTCATAACAACAAGAAGAAAAACAAGATTTTAAAGGACAAAGTCTATACTTCAATCACAGAATTTCATTCGATACAAAAGGACCAATATCACCATCCTCAGAAGGGAACTCATGTACAATGGTCATAGTCGATGCATTCACACATTACGTAGCACTTAACGCTGTACCTCATACTAATGCTTATTATGCATATAAAACACTTAATGAACACTGGATAGCAAAATTCGGTTCACCCGAAATTCTTGTCCCAGACAATGGCACTGAATTTATAAAGAACGAAATCATTACACTATTCCACTTATATACTATTAAGCACAAACCACGTACTTCTCATGCACCTTGGACTAATGGATTAGTCGAAGGCATGAACCGTTCATTACAAGAAAATCTTAGATGCATCATTTACGGAAATGACACACGATACACTGAATGGTCAACAGATGTAAAACTGTTTCCATTATCCTATAACTCACAACTAACAACAACTTTAGGACTTTAGCCAAAAAACACGAAAACCGATAACGTTCACAGCAACATCTTCAAAAAATACACAAGGTTATTGCCAACCCACTAAAGAATCAATATGTTACAATCTACCACTACATACCCACGATGAAGATCACTTTCATTACCCAGAAACTTTAAAATCAGCTTCCGGTACACACACCGAATGGATTTTAAACAGAGATAAAAATCACAATGAAATTTATCAAAAAGTAACAAAAAAATTATTACAAAGACAAAATATTAATTCCCAAACAAATTCTCGATTTACACCAGCTACAAATTTAAAGATTGGAACATACGTTTCAATTCCAAATTTCACAACACAAAAAAGAATTTCAAAAAAATTACAACCACTCCGAAAAAGACCATATCAAATAATTGATAAACCCACTGATGTAACATATAAACTTACAGACCTAGACAAAAAATAAATCGTTCAACACCGAAACAATCTTTTACATTTTTATCCGAAAGAGTACGCTCTTTGCAAACTGACTCAGTTATACTTTTTTACAGGATTTAAAGTTATTCAAAATAATTAAAATCACGAACAAAATCAAAGCACTAATATGAACCCTATCCAAGAACCATTAGATAAAAATGAAAGAGAACTTCCCAAACAAACATCAAAAAGTGTAGACAACAAAAAGATAACTCAAAAAGAAAGAAAAAATCGAATTTTTGAAAAAAAAATTCTACCACAAGATCAAAAAGAAAAAGCTCCACATAGACAATCATCGCGACATCAAAATCAGCAACGTAAAGATTACAAAACATTCATCCCACAATCTAAAGTATTAAAGAAAGTTGAATTTCAACCAGTTTAAAATTAATTAACATTTTCACCTCTTGAAGATATTCTCATAAACCAAACATTTTTTCAAATTTCATGCTGAAAAGCACGTGAACAAAATAGTTCAAATTCAGCCAATCAGAAACCTTTCCGAATCATCACCTCATTTTTCACACGACTCCTTTATCTGACAAACAGTCACCTTCAAGCGAATCTCTAACTATAACTAAAGGACCTCCAATCAAAAATAAGCAAACCGCTAAACATTGACAGCTGAAACAAACAAAGTCTCAATATTAAAACCCTTCCCTATCAAGCAGTGCAGTACAAAGAATAACAATATTGTCCCAAGGTAGACCTCAAAAACCCCTCAAGCAAAAATATTAAATTAGCCTAAAGAACAAAATGGACATGATCACTTAGCCTAAAGTACGAAAATCTCTTACATATCCCCAAACATCCAATAAAAACAACAAAACCAGAAAGACTCTTAAGATCCCTCCAAACTTTCCTTTTTCAAAAGTTGCCGAAATCCAACCCACTTGTCAAAAAACCAATAAAAAAACTGACAACACTCGATTTTAGCCTAAAAAACAGTTCGACAAAACGAATCAGTTCTTCAAATGCTTCTTTCTCAAACAGTCAACAATATTCAAAACATTCTTTCAAACCTTTTTTTAATCCTTTCAACTTTTTTCAAACCTTGTAAAATTCTCATATCCGACATTTTAGAAATACTAATTATCTCCCTGATAATTCTTTGCAGTTTTTTCATCATTTTTTACTCTCTAGCCCAAACCTATGTTAATTTTTCCAAAATCATTGATCACCTCCTCAGGTACGATATTTCAAATAACTATCTAAATGTTCCAACATCTATTCAGTAGAGCAGATGTTTTTCTTCTTTTCATAATATTTCTCATATTTCCGACATTCCTCATAATGACAAGGTGCAAATGTATAAAAAAGGCTATTCCAGCTTTCGCATTAGCAACAACATTTTTAAAGCTTTTCGTTCAAGAATAATAAAGAAAACACAAATTTTCCTCAAAAATAATTTTTCTAAGACTTTTCTAATCAACTTTCCTATTCCAAACTGCTAATCAACAACCACCACATCAGTCCCACCAACAAAGTCGCAAGAACCTCCAATAACACCAACAAACAGTCAAACAAATAACCCCCAATCATCACCACGCATCTCTTTTCAAGACAATCCATACACATTTGAAGAAAGACACGCACGATTGTCCGAACCACTAGAATCAGTAATTCGCCAAGCATCTCTAAGCGAACCACAATATGAACCAGTATATAATATATACCCACCTCTCCAACAAGATCTTAATAGAGCAAGGCACCAAAGTCAAATCCAAAACACGCTCGAAAAAAACTGTTAAATTATACATCCAAGACGAAATAGAAATTTGCAAACCCCCAGAGTTCAATTCAACCTACCGCATTCGCCAATAGCCAATCCTATAGACCTCTCCAGTAGTACAATTCAAAGTACTCTCCAGACCCCATCACAACAAAGCACATCAAACATCATATCAGATTATTTAGGTTCAACACTTACTTCTGAACAAATTCGAGAAAATCCCCTATGTCCCCCAACTACTACAGAACATCTCCCATACTGGATGACACAAGCTTTTACTCAAGGCGAACCAAATGTAGTAAACGGTTCAACAAACGTTTCATCTGACACAACTTTGTCACTACCAGAAACTCTTTCACTCCCTTCAACTCCTTCCTTATTTCAAATCTCACCAACCCCATTTCCTTTCCTTCAAATTTTCCTACAAATTTCGACGCCAGATATAAAGAAAATTCAACAAATAACATATACCTACGATTCGATTGGGATAAATCTGTAACACCCCCTCCATTATTTGGACAGCATCACTAAAGTAACAGATTACACAACTGGGCACTAATCAGATTACAATATTGACAAGATATCCACAAAGATATGCGTGAACATAACATACAAATACTTACACACAATAATCTCACACAAAAATTTGAATTCACAGTAAGAGTAAATAAAATATTTCATCATCCCTTATCTCTAGTTCCCCGAAAAAAAAACAGCTCAATCATTACCTCCACCATTTATATTTACAGAAATCATCTACAAATACGATAGATACACAAAAAAGACAATTGGATATAGAATTTTTCATAATCCATACTCAGGACTATCATACACATGTTTCTTCTAAAAAACTAGTTCTCCAGACCATTTTATTCTTCAATTTCTCAAAACGCGATCATAACAATCCTGCCCCTGAACAGGAACCCAGGGTTTACTAGTCACACATTACGATTGTGAAGAAAATTAGAAATAAACATTACATAAATATGCAATAAACCAAGTCACTGAATGCGAATCTGAACCACAATCAATTGAAACAACAAATATAATAGCTACACTTCACTCAAAAGCACGAGCTATAACAGTAACTGGATATAAAATCACAGCAACATTTTCCGAAAAGAAAGTACATTGTTCCCAAGTTTCAAACGGAAACAAAAGCAGACTAGATCATGAATCTTTTTACCAAAGTAATTTTGAAAGACTATTAAATCTCAGCCCTGACGATTGTAAAAAGGAACTTGAACGATTAAAAATCACATCAAACAAAGGCACAAACAGGAAATTAGTAAACTTTCAAGTTTTTCCAGACTCCGCACATCAAGCCGAACTTGAAAGATACCAAAGTCATATAAAACTAGATGATAAATTTCCTTTCCACGGAGCACATGGAAGAATAATTTACGATCTCCATGACAAAAGTTTCATACCACACATTGGAATAAACAACCCCGCGATTTGTAAAGCCGACACTAAAGATAAAGGATACCACGAAATAATGTTTTTTTGAATGGAAAATACAACTTGAAAAGTACAACTAACACGTGATTCAAAAGATGAACTAACAATTATCAAGGAGTCAGACTCCGTTGCAAAAACGACCAAGATCTAGGATACTGCGATCCTACTACGCGCACACAAGCAACAAATGTTTGGCTCCCCGAAGACACCTGTACCACATTTCAAGTCGCAAAAATACATGCTCGAATGATAATATTTCACCAAAAAAGTTTTATTGAATCAATCCCATTTGGAGATGTGAACCCTGGTCAACTCAGACATAGTAATTATAGATTTAGAAGCATTCATAATGGAGAAAATAATTTGACATTTTTCCAAATATACCCAGAAACGGAAGTTGCATGTATATACAAAACACAACTCTCAGAAATTCTTGTCGAATACGAACAAGGTTTCGACATGAATACAGGAAAATTAATTATACATCCGATGGCTACATCTCACTCAACCACTGACGAAAAATCTT